AGTTTTTAACTAGATTTCAAATAGCTAGATTGCTCTGTCAAATTAAAATACTGCAGAGCTACTTACATTGCTTTGCAGGTGATTGGAAAAATACCAATTAAAGTGACATAATAGTAGCTTAGATCAGTAGTCCCCAACCTTGGGCCTCCAGATGTTCTTGGACTACAACTCCCAGAAGCCTTCACCACCACCTCTACTGACCAGGATTTCTGGGAGTTGAAGTCCAAGAATATCTGGAGGCACAAGGTTGGGGACCACTGGCTTAGATGGCCTAAGCTCTGACTCAGTATAAGGCTGTTTGCTAGACTGCAGCTGAAATACAGGTGACTTGTATCACTCTTATTGAAATATCTGGACCCGAAGGAAAATGTTCCGTCTGGGAGTACAGGACCAAAGGCCACATGACTCTAAAAAACTGAAAACTCTTCTGCTTTACCAGGTGTTCTAAAGACTTTTGTTAGGAAGCCCCGTCTCTTGCTTAGAATTTGAAACATCTGGAGGTCTCCTAGCTTTCCCATTCTCTCAGTATTGGAACCAAGATGGGGGGGGGTTGGTTCTATATTCTGGTCGGCTTGACATGTTGCAGTGTCCTCTGCTACGAAGGTTGGTGAACATTTGGCTTTCCAGATATTCTAGACCTCCACTTCCTAGAGGCTTGAGCCATCATGCCAGTTATGAGAGGTGTAGCGTTCACCCTTATTATGTTAAGTAGTTGTGCATATTCATGTTGCAGGCTAATATTACCGAGAGGCGGAGCAGAGAGAGTTGTAAAAAGAGGCGGAGTCAGAGAGTGAGAGAGTCAGTCAGTCAGAGAGGAGAGGGAGATAGAGTGTGGTATTTGGGAGATCTGAGTTGTGGTTTGTGAATAAAAACTGTTATAACAAGTAGAAGATTGAGACTGATGATAAATAAACCTGTAGAAGTTACTTATGATTAATTATCAAATATCTATAATCAATAAACTTGGTTTTTTTAAAAGACAAGTGAGGTTTGGACCTTCATCCTTCCATAAGTAAAGTATGTTGATTTAGGGATCAACTGGTGGCAGCCGGTGAAAAGGAGTATTGGTTTGCCTTTGTGTGCTCAGTGTTTGGAGAGTCAGGCAGGGGCCATGATGTGCGAATGCCACAAGAGATGATCATAATTGTCCCAAAATCTGATGGGCCAAAGGTTCCTTACCCGTAATCTCCTGTCTTCTCAGTAGTTTGTAAATGTGGGACAGTATAAGCAGACACTTCTGAGCAAATATAATTACTTATGCCCTTAATCATATTAATTGGGTTAGCCATTGATGTTTGCTTTCCTGAGCAAAAGAGAGCAGATTGCTGCTGGTAGTACAGTTGGAAAGAACAGCATTAAAGACTAGAATACTCCTAATCCTGGGAAACATGATCCTTGCTCAGCCTCTTAAACATGAATAGACAATTTGAGCCTCTCCAGGACTGCAGCCTCCATCATCCTTCTACATTGGCTATGCTTGGCAAGGGCTGAAGAAAGACAGAAATCAACAGCATTTGCCCACCTCTGCTGTTTAAGATCTAGTGTTACTCCCTCAGTATGAGTGACTTATTGCGGAAAGAAATTGCTAAGGTTTCTGGACTGATTGACTTGACCGTCACTTTCACCTGTGTATTTGCCATGTAGTTCAATCTGTGAAGGCTGGACTCCAGCAGCACTTGAACTGCTTGTCCCGGTGCTTGTTCCAGAGTTGCCATCGACCACAGACCCACTTGTAATTCTGATTCTGATCAAGATCCAGGCTGTAGTTTACTGAAAGAATAAGAATGGTGTATTTTACCAAGACGCACAATCACTCTCTGGAGACCGGAATGGTTGTTCGCTAAGTCTGTTAGGTTTCCTACTTCCCCATTAATCTCTTTTTCCTGTTTTTTCTACCAGGTGTAGTAGTTTGTCTCTTTCCAAGGTGAATGGTGTTGTTGAATTCTGTCCATGTTTCAAATGTCTGCACTCCTCCCACTCCTAATATCTGAAGATTTAATTAATCTGCTATTTCCTCCCTCTTCTAGAACATTAATGAAGATACAAAATAGGATCAGAAGTAATACCATTTTCTTGACAATACATTAATGGCTCACCCGCCTACTCTTAAGTTGTTTTTCATCACCCTTCATTTCAGTCAGCAGGAGTGTTTTGTGTCAATTTAAGCAATTTTTGTAAGACATGCTGATCAGTGTTTTCATAAAACCTGGCTGTGTCAAAGTGCCTGGTTAATGTTTTCCAGTTTCTCTGTTTAGTATCTGCACATGGAAATATAACATACCGGTACCAATTATTTTGCTAATACACAGTATTAAGAGACTCACGTGTTATGTCCATATTATTAATCATGACGACAGTGGTGTACCTTAGCTGTCAGTGAGAAATCCCTGCCAGATGTGCAGTACTTCTTCCCAACCCCCTAAGTGTTCCTAGCTAGCTGTCCAACTACCTTTCGGTTTTTGTGGGTTTTTTAGCACCTGGGAAAATGTCCTTTAATTATTAGACAGTGCAGAAATTTCTGATTAAAAAACTTAAATTAAGTGTTCAATGTCCAGTGTCTTCTCCAGTAGGCCAATGAGTATCTCACATGTTACATTGGGGCCTGGGTGACCTGTGTTCAACCCTTGTTCAGCTATGATGCTATCCAGCTGTGACACTGGCAGAGTGGCCTTGAGCCACTTGCTGTTTCCCAGACCAACCTACCTTGTAGGATCTGTGTGAGGGTTGAAGAAAGGAGAAAGCAAGACAGTCGAGCTTCTTGAAAGATTCATGTGATGTAAATGTAATAAGTAGGTATTGTAAAGTTAGGAAATATGTATCAGACAGATGCAGTTGCTGTACTGCTTTTAAATAGATTTTTCACATTTAAAAAATGTTCCTTATAACCTTTCACATTTTTTTTTTTTTTTGCTGAACATGAATGCATACACATAAACGTGCACACTGGGGTCTGACCAAAGCCAGATCCAATGCCAAATTTAGTCATACACATAAGACAGGCAAGTAATTTAAGAGAGTAGGTCAACTCTCCTGGGTGAATGTTCTCTGAGTTTGGAAGGATTATATTAAAGAAAGCAGTATGGAATTCACAAGTATGGAATTCACTTAATAGAGTTTGACCTTTTTCTTCCTTCTCCCCTGTTTTCCACGTACGTGACGCCTGTGACCCGATATACTGTAGCATTAATCAATATGGATTTGTTTTAAAATTGTCAGGGAAAACAGTTCTGATCAATAAAGTTGCAATGGTGCCATCTAGTGTGACACTTTAAAATATATTTCACCAACTGGAGGCCTATGATTTTTGTCTTCAATGAGAAAAGTGTCTGCTTTCTGGAATCAAAAGAGAAAATGGGGACTAACAACTTTTCGGCATTTTCCTTCTAATTTTTTTTGTCAGAGCTTCAAAGCAATCCGTTTACAATATGCATTCATTTAATCTGGCTTCCTGTAACTTGAGCCTCTTGTTGTGTGTCCTGCACTCTGGGAGGATCAAGAACACATCCAAGTCCCTCCTTTGCACTCTGGGAGGATCAAGAACACATCCAGCCTTTGTTTGACAGCCTTTGAAAAGTGCTCTCATATCTCCTGTCAGTCTAAATATGCCCAGTTCTTTCAATGTTTTCTCACAGAGCTTGTTTTCCAGAAGACAAGAATCACTGCAGAAGAACAATATTACTTTCATGTTAACAATAAAGAAATTGAAATTGTTGCAGCTTTTGTGTACCACAGTAAAATCAACAAAAAACCAATTGGAGATTGCAGCCAAGAAATGAGAAAAACGCTGACACTTAGAAGTAGTGAAGGAACTAGAAAAGGTCAGATGTAAGGATGTGTCACCAGAGATCAAGTCCAAGATCATCAACACAGATGATTTTCAATTGCTATGTACAGATGTGAAAGCTTGACTTTATCATTAACAGCCCTGCTGAGCTCTTGTAAACTCAAACCTGTTGTTTCCTTTATGGAGTCAATCCACCTTATATTTAGTCTTCCTCATTTTCTTCTGCCTTCTACTTTTCCTAGCATTATTGTCCTTTTCACTGTGTCTTCTCTTCTCATGATATGCTCCAAGTATGGCAGCCTGATGGGAAACTGAATGTGAAGGATGTGGATGTGAATGAGAGGGATGTGTTTTTATGTGGAGTATGCTATGTTTTCATGTTATGGATGCTATGTTCTTGTGTATTTTATCATGTGTACTGCAGATAGCATTTAATTTTGTTGTATGGAAGTACAATGACAATAAAGTAAATTCAAATTCAATTCAGATTCAGGCTTGATTTGGTCTAGGGCCCATTTATATGGCTTACTGGTGGTCCAAAGTATCCACATAGTTCTCCTCCAGCAGGAAGATCTTTTTCTTGCCAGCTTTCTTCATTGTCCAGCTTTCACAGCCATAAATAGTAATTATAAATATAATTGTATTGATGATTTTTGCCTTGCTTTCCAGTGATGAATCTTTGCATTTGGTGCTCTTCTCTAGTTCCTTCATAGCTGCCTTTCCAAGTCTCACCCTTCTTCTAACTTCTTTGCTGCAATCACCATTTGGATTGATTACTTCCTGAAGTACAGAAAATTGTTAATAATTTCAAATTATTTATTGTCCACATTAAAGATAGTTCTGTCGTCATGATTTTTGCCTTCTTAAAGTTCAACTGTAGTTCTACTTTACTCTGATTTACTCGTACTGCTTTGCTCTAACATCAAGCGTCATACTGCATTGCTTGTTGTAATATCAAGCCAAATAAAAGAGTGTGTGTTTTTTCAACTCAGAAACATGGTCAGATTATTTTGTGCCTTTTTAGTTGATGTAATGAAAGTGGATTAAGGAACCTCTTCTTAAGGAGGATATCTTTAAGACAATTTTCACAGATTTCATCTGCCTTTGTTGCTTATTTAATCTCTTTTCTCCTCCCTCTTTGTGAGATATTAAATGCTGCCCTCTGAACCTGACGCCAAAGTTTACATTTCACTTCTTGTCTGTCTTGCTCACACAGAGTCTGCTTGGGGCAAAAGGAGATTCCAAAAGGCAGAGCAGAACCAGGAATTCCTTGTTGACAGACAGAGAGAAATCTTCCCCAAAACATGGCAACAGCTCCCTCTGCCACCACTAGCACCTCTCCTGCAGTCTATGATTGTAACCCTGAAAGTGCATCCTTCCCAGAACAGTTTGCTTGGGGTGCAGCAACAGCAGCATACCAGATTGAAGGTACATTTTTAAACATTTTGCAGCTGGCTAGGAGGGTATTTAAAACAGATTAGCTGAAATAATGGATTATGTACTGTTTACAAGGAGGAGATACTTGAACTTAAGTTTCATTATTGTCTAGCCACTAAATTTCATTTTGACCTAGAAGAGATTTCTTCCATTACCCTTCTCTTCTTTCCAGGAGCACCAGGATATGAGAATCTACTTCAAAATTCTTGATGCGTATATGAATAGATCCATCTTTCAAACACAAATAAAATTTGATCTGAATCCATTCTGTTTCAATCTCAAGAACTGCTGCACGCATATTTTTAGGTGTGAAATGAAATGCTGATTAAGATACTTTTTCATTTATTCAGACATTATCCTTTCTTTCTGCAATATAATCAAACTCAAGGTGATTGATAGATAAATGTAACCTACGCAACCCCATTATAAAAACTGTGTGAACTGATCATAAGTTGTCTTTTAGGTCTTCTTCTCATTGATCCTTTCCAACACGGGAAAGAGGCCTACCGTATTTTTCGCTCCATAAGACGCACCATATTTTTAGGAGAAGAAAACAGGGAAAAAAATCTGTTTTCTTCTCCTAAAAATTGGCGAGCCTTATGGAGAGGTCTGTCTTATGGAACACAACCTAGGACCCTTT